ATGTTCTCCACAGCTTCTCCAGACCCTTTCAGGTCTGTTACATGTGCTCAGGGTGAACCTGCTCTCATCTATGAAAAGCACAGGGTGCACCAGTGGCGGACCTGCAAATTCTGGTGTTCAATGGCAAAATGCCAATCGAGCTCTATGGTGCCGGGCAGTGAGCACAGGGCCAACTAGAGGAAGTCAGGCCCTCAGGCCACCCTCATAAAGTCTGTTTTTGGTTGGTCAGAGATATTCACACCAGTGGCCTGCTGGAGGCCATTTTGTAGGGATCTGGCAGTGCTCATCCTGTTCCTCCTTGCACAAAGGAGCAGATACCAGTCCTGCTGATGGGTTAAGGACCTTCTACAGCCCTGTCCAACTCTAGAGTAACTGCCTGTCTCCTGGAATCTCCTCCATGCTCATGAGACTGTGCTGGGAGACAGCAAACCTTCTGGCAATAGTACATATTGATGTGCCATCCTGGAGGAGTTGGTCTGCCTGTGCAATCTCTGCAGGGTCTAGGTATCGCCTCATGCTACCATTAGTGACACTGACCCTAGCCAAATGCAAAACTAGTGAAAAACAGTCAGAAAAGATGAGTAGGGAAAAAAAAAATATCAGTGGCCTCCATCTGTAAAACCATTCCTGTTTTGGGGGTTGTCTCATTGTTGCCCATCTAGTGCATCTGATGTTAATTTCATTAACACCAAAGGAGCTGAAACTGATTAACAACCCCCTCTGCTACTTAACTGACCAGATCAATATCCCAGGAGTTTAATTGAGTTGATGCTATACTCTGATTAAAAAGTGTTCCTTTAATTTTTTAGTGCAGTATGTGTGTGTATGTATGTGTGTGTGTTTGTGTGTGAGTATGTGTATATATATATATTAGTGGGAACTTACATCAAGGATAGAGACTTTTAAGCACACAGCCACTCACTTTACTCTGTTTTTTAAGTTTTTTTTTAGCCCAATTTTATTTAAAGGAAAGTTCCATAACATGTTTCCCATGCAGGGATATCCACTATCAAAAGAGATTAAACAAATATTCAGCCTCCTGGCTTGTACACAATTTCTTCCGCTCTGGCCTTCCACTTTAGGCTCTCAGCTGTCTCCTACAGACTCCTTCCTAAATGACTGTTTGCACACAGCTAGCAGCCACTTGCTGCTCTGGCTTTCACCTCTCCTAAGTGGAGCTCTCCTGACTCCTGGGCAATGACCTCCTGTCTGCCAGGGTGGAGCCCAGAACCATGGTTAGACCTTTACAAAAAGGCCAGCACACACCTGTGTAATCAGTGTGTTGGATGTTCACAAAACATGGTCCCAGGATTGGAGATTTCATCCCTCCCAAAACACTTAGAAATCTCCAGGCCAAAGATCCCAAAACGGGCTTTACAAACCACAGAGGAAACTGACAAACCAGTTTCCTCTGCATTAAGAGAACTGCCTGGAGCCCCTCAACCTGTATGGTTGAGAATCCTGGGTTATAACCTTGATTTTCACCGTGGCAGGACACAACACTGCTACAATATATATATATATATATATATATATATATTTTTATAAATCAAATTTTGGTGGCAGTATAACTTTACTGTATTTTTACCCATAACGTGTCTTTAACCACCATACTGGACACATTTTCCCCTTCCTGCCCAGGTCAATTTTCAGCCTTCAGTACACTCACACTTTGAATGTCAATTACTCAGTCATGCAAGACTGTACCCAAATTAATTTTTATAATTTTTTTTTCACACAAATAGAGCCTTATTTTGGTGGTATTTAATCACCACTGGATATTTTTAGTTTTTGCTAGATAAATGAAAAAAAGACTGAAAACTTTGAAAAAACGCATTTTTCTAAGTTTTTTGTTAGAACATTTGAAAATAAATAATTTTTCTGCTTAAACTTAGACCAAAAATTTTTACTGCTACATTTCTTTGGTAAAAATAACCCAAAACAGTGAATATTTTTTGGTCTGTGTGAAAGTTATAGTGTCTACAAGCTATGGTACCGATCAATGAATATTGATCACACCTGATGTACTAACAGTCTATCTCATTTCTTGAGGCCCTAACATGCAGGACAGTACAAATACCCATCAAATACTCACCCTTTCTGGAAAGTAGACAATCCAACGTATTTAGTAAGATGCATGATGAGTTTTTTTAAGTTGTAATTTTTTCCCACAATTCTGTGAAAAATTAATACATTTATTTTTTGCTTTCCCTGCAAAATTGTAATTTTAACAATTTGTATCAAACACATAGCATAGACATACTTGCAATTACACCCCAAAATACATTCTTCTACTCCTCCTGAATATGGTGATACCACATGTGTGAGATTTCTTTTACAGCCTAGCCACACAGAGGGGCCCCACCTTTTAGCTTTCAAGCAGCATAAATTATGTATCTAATTTCCTGACTACCTATCACAGGCTCTGGAGCACCAGGACAATGAAAACACGACAAAATGACCACATTTTGGAAAGCAAACACCCCAATATATTTTCTATGAGGCTTAACGAGTCTTTTGAACATTTCATTTTTTTGAAAAACATGGAAAGAAAATGAAAACTTTTTTTTTTTTATACAGTTGTCAATTTATAAGATTTTTCTAACAAACAGCATGGACATACAGCATGCATACACCCCAAAATATCTTCTGCTATTCCTCCTAAGTATGACGATACCGCATGTGTGAGACTTTTTCACAGCCTAGCCACATAAAGAGGCCCAAAATCCAAGGAGCACCTTCAGGCATTTTAGGGGCATAAATTACACATATAATTTTATGACTATCTATTACAGTTTTGGGTGCCCACTGGAGACACCAACAGATGTTGATGGTCCACTAGGGACACTAACAGATGTTGATGGTCCACTGGGACACTAACAGATGTTGATGGTCCACTAGGGACACCAATAGATGTTTATGGTCCACTGGGACAGTGCTAGATGGTGACGATCCACTAGGGACACTGACAGATGTTAAAGGTCTAGTAGGGACACTGACATATGTTGATGTTGCAATGGGACACTACTGCAGATGTTGATGGGGCACTGGTACGCTGTGACATAAGTTTTGTGCACTGGTACACTGTGACAGAAGTTGATGGGACATTGGTACACTGACAGATGTTTTGGTGCACTGGTAAACTGTAACAGATGTTGAAGGTCCACTAGGGACATCGACAGATGTTGATGTTGCAATGGGACACTATTGCAGATGTTGATGTGAACTTGGATGAAGGGACAGATGGTGCTTGGTGGGATGGCTGCACTCTGTGTGATCTGTATGTAGCTGCACAGTAAAGTCATCAGCTACACACAGATCGCTGACAGTCTTCAGCAACATCACATGATTAGGAGGGCCAATCAAAGAGCCCATGTCCCAATCTGTGATGCGCTGTGTCCGACCTATCAAAAGATCATGCCGCTGCACAGCCCCAGGTTCTGACAGGACCTGAGGGTACGTCTTTTCAGGTTCTTGTCCCACCTGGCTGTGTATGCACAGTGGCTGGATGGGAAGCTGTTAATTACATTTCATGGCATTTTTTCACCTCTTTTTACAATTCATTCTTATCCCTTTTTGGCCCCACCCATGTTTTTCGATTTTATGGTTGACCAGTAAATACATGACACCCCTGACATACAGTTGTGCTCCAAAGTTTGCATAGCCTGGTAGAAATTGTGAAATGTTGGCGTTGATATTGAAAATATGGCTGCTCATGCCAAAAAATCAGTTTTTTATTTGGGGATAGAGATCATATGAAGGCATCTATTTTCACATAGTTGTTTGGCTCCTTTTTAAATCATAGTGATAATAAAAATCATCCAAATGGCCCTGATCAAAAGTTTGCATACCCTGGAATGTTTAGCCTTGGTACAGACACAAAAGATAACAATCACAGGTTAAAATTGGAATTAAATGTTAAAGAAAGATTGCAGTCACAACTGCCAGAAGAATTGTTCAGAAAACAAAGGCAAACAGGAGAAATACAGACAGCTCTGGAAAAAGACTGTGTGATTGTTTCAAGGAGCACAATGCAATGAAAATGAGCTGCATGGTTGAGTTGCTAGATAGAAGCCTTTACTGTGCTAATGGCAAAAAAAAGCCCAGTTACAATATGCCCGACAACACTGTAGCAAGCCACGCAACCTCTGGCACATTGTAATCTGTGTGAGTGACATGACCAAAATAGAGCTTTACCATAAGCGCTATGTTTGGAGAGGGGTCAACAGTGACAAGAATACCATCCCCACTGTGAAGCATGGTGGTGATTCACTGATTTTTTTTTGGGGGGGGGGGGCAATACTGACAGACAATTTGCTTTCTTCTGCACGAAAGCTGCACATGGGACACTCTTGGCGGTTCCAGCATGACAATGACTTTAAGAGCAAGGCCAAATTGACCTATTAGTAGTTACAACAGAAAAAGGTGAAGGCTCTGTAACCACTTGCCTACCAGGCACTTATACCCCCTTCTTTACCAGGCCAATTTTCAGCTTTCAGCGCTGTTGCACTTTGAATGACAATTGCGCGGTCATGCAAGATTATACCCATATGAAAGTTTTATCATTTTTTTCTCACAAATAGAGCTTTCTTTTTGTGGTATTTAATCGCCGCTGGGCACTTTACTTTTTGCGCTATAAACAAAAAAAATGCAAAAAATTTGAAAAAAAAAAAGTTTCTTTGTTTCTATTATAAAATTTTTCAGACGGGTAATTTTTCTCCTTCACTGATGTGCGTTGATGAGGCTGCACTGATGGGAACTGATAGGCAGCACTGATAGGCACTGATAGGCAGCACTGAAGGGCACTGATAGGCGGTACTGATAGGCAGCACTAATGAGGTGTCACGGATAGGCGGCACTGATGATGGGTACTGATAGACAGCACTGATAGGTGGCACTGACTGGCATCATTGCTGGGCACTGCTAGGTATTGACTGGTGCAACTGCTGGGCACTGACTGGCACAACCGCTGGGCACTGACTGGTGGCACTGACTGGCAGCACAGGTGGGTTGCACTGATGGGCACAGGTGGGTGGCACTGGTGGGTGCACTGCTGGGCACAGGTGGGCGGCACTGGTGGGTGGCACTGCTGGGCAACGGTCATCAGGGCACTGATCATCAGTGCCCTGATGATCAGTGCTGATCCCTGCTCTGACAACTGCCGGTTCTCGGCAGTACTTTCCTCGCACTCTGACAGCGCAAGGAAAGTGCAGCCGAGAACCGGCAATTACATTTCCTGGTGATCAGCGTGTCATTGGACACGGCCGATCACGTGGTAAAAGGCCGCTGTGATTGGCCTTTGACCACATCACATGATCAGCTGTGTCCGTAGGACACAGCGATCATGGAGATAGCCGGGGGCGCGCAGGAGAGCACGTTCTGGGACAACGTCATATGACGCCCTCCCAGAACTGGCCAGCCGCAGTGTAGCCGTCATTCGGCTATCTGCGGTTGGCGAGTAGTTAATATCGTCAAGCCATTCGGAGATTTCAAATAACGGTTTTTGCCAAGACAAATGGACAGCTATATCCCTTGCATAAATTTGGGGCCTCATAGACAACTATTACAAAAAAATGCACGCTGTCATTGATGCTGAAGGGGGCAATACACAGTATTAAGAACTATTAAGAACTAAGGGTATGCAAACTTATGAACAGGGGTCATTTCATTTGTTTACTTGTTGTCATGTTTTGTGTTATGATTGTGCCACTCTGTTATGACCTCCAGTTGAGTATGAATCCCACAAGAAATAAATGTGTTTTGCCTGCCCACTCATGTTTTTTTTAAAATTGGTGCATACTGCAGCACAGTGGCTAAATGGTTTGCACTTCCGCCTGGCAGTACTAGGGTCACTGGTTCAAATCCCAGCCACGGCACCTCCTGCCAGGAGTTTGCATGTTCTCCCTGTGCCTGCATGGGTTTCCTCTGGGTACTCTGGTTTCCTCCCACACTCCAAAGACATGCTGCTAGGTTAATTGGCTCCTGTCTAAATTGTCCCTAGTATGTATGTATGAATGTGAGTTAGGGACCTTAGATTGTACACCCCTTGAGGGTTAGGGACTGATGTGAATGTACAATATATATGTAAAGCACTGCATAAATTGATGGCGCTATAGAAGTAACTAAAATAAATAATAAATTCTCCAAGGGTATGCAAATGTTTCAGCACAACTGTATATTACCAGGAATTATCCTAGGAAGGTCAATAGGACTTTTCTATGATTGCTTTTTCTGCCCTCCCTTTTTTCTTTTTTAACTCGCCCTTCCTCTCTCTTTTAATTTTTATCATTTAATCATGTTTAATCTCTTTGGGGTATGCTGAGTGCCTAATACTTTCTATTACAATGACTGTGTGCAGGACTGCCCCGAGAGGCAACTCGACTTAGCATATCTAACATATCTAACTTTTTTTTGGATATGTGTTACAGTGTAGATCTACTGTCTATGTCAGTCCCATGCCAGTCTGGTTGCTGTTGGACCATTGTACTTTCTCTTATCTGTTTTTAATAAAGACATCCTTTTGGTAGGAGAAAAAAAAAAAAAACACATAACACCCCTATATTACCTAAGAAACGGGTGGACTGACAACTCATGGGGCCCCGGGCAATAGGGGATCATGGGGCCCTTGTGTCCTTGCCCAAACTCAAAAAAGCCTATGAAAAAGGTACCAGGGGCATCTCATGGGGCCCCCTACTGATCCCCGGCCCTTGGGCAGTACCCGAGTTTCCAAATGGTCAGTCACCCCTGCTAAGAAATCATCTTTCAGTCATCTGACTTCAGTAATGTAAAAAGTATTTGGTATAGCTGTAGCCAGGTGTTTGGCTAAGAAATGGAAAGTGGTAGAAACACTGGCTGCAGCTGCTTTCTGTCATTGCTGCCCTGTTCTGCTGAACTGGTTAACAGCTAGATCAGCAAGAGGAGGGAGCTGCTGAGAAGGAAGAGTTCAATATACTGAGACAGGTAGCACTACACTGTGGGAGCTGTAGTCCAGAGGAGAGAGACTCTACTGTAATCAAGAGCTTTTGAACGGCATTTCCCAGAGAGAGATGCCAGGAGGCGGGGAAAGAATTCCATTTTCTCAGGCTGTACAGGACACGGCTTCCTCTTGCCATGAGGGAGAGTGCACAACGTTGTCCAGTGTGAACCATCACTACTGCATAGTGGCGGCCTAAGCAGGATCCTGAGTGCGGATGTGCCGACAACTAGAGTTACCTGGGTGAAGAGCAGAGAGTGGACTAACCGTTGTGTGTGACCAAATGGTGAGCTGCAATGTCACTGGAACTGGTGAGCTGCTACTGTGGGGATTTACTGTCTGCTATTAGAGAGGTTGAGCCCTTTAGGAACTGACCATACAGACATCCAGTAGCCTTATTGATGCCTGCAGACTAGACTGGGACTTTTCTCATGTGCACCAAAGGTACAACTGGGCCCCACCACTAGCTGGCTGAAGAGTTAGGGCTAAAGACTGTCCCTTTACAGCTGCTACGAAGATACCTTAACCTATTGCTTATGCTAAGAGGTATCTTTCCAGGGAAACTGCACCATATTCAACCATTCTCCTAGATTGCACTGTAGACTAGTGATAGTATTATTATTCACATTTCAGTTAATGCGTACAGTATATGCACTGTCCATTGCTGACTTTGCTGAATTATGTGTTGACTCAGTCTAGTGGTACAGAACTCTATTCTTACTTATCTGGGGATATTGATTATACTGTCTAGCAGACTGTGTCTGAGCCTACCTTCTGTGTGTTCATTTATCCTCAAACCACAATTTAGTCTAACCTGTACCAATATATTGAGTTCAGTTACCACTAAATGGTCTTGTGTCTATTTCCTTGTGCTAATTCATAGCTGAATTAAAAGTGTCTATACTCGTGTTCTTATCAGTGCTTGCAGTAACTCACATTCAACCAGGCGCGTCAGAGTGGCTGAGGGTGTTCTTGGAGTCGCAAAACAAAGAACCCAAATTAACATGAGGCACCTTCAGGGCTAGTGTTACATGTTTTAGTGCATTTGATCTATTAGGCCCCATGTACACAGGACACTTCTGAACGATGGAAAGTGACTGCTGGAAAACGTAAGTTAAAAAACGTCTGTTTAGCCACATTTGCATACTACGTTTATGCACGCTTATGCACATTTGCATTTAGAAGCGTTCTGGACAGCATCTGGAAATGGAACAGCTAAACAACGCTTCTAAACACAAACGCTTATAAATGCGTTTAGTCATGTTTACACGCTTTTACAAGCATTTTGCAATTGAAACGCTGATGAAATCTACTGCTGAACGCAAATATGGTGCGTTCAAAAAAATTACTGTAAACTCAACTGCCTGTAAACAACTGTAAACGATGATGTGCACATGGACACATAGGAAAACATTAGGGTAAGTTCAAGAGCTGCTGAAAAAAACTCTGAACAGCTCCTAAACATGAGTTTATCAGCTGCAGTGTACATGAGCCCTAACATGATATTGTACTGTATTTGTGTACACTATACAAATAAGAATATTGTGCAAGAATTGACATTTATAATAATCTGATTCTCCACTTTTGTTGTATTATTATTATTATTATACAGTATTTATATAGCGCCAAAAGGTTTGCTCAGCACTGTACATTATAGTGGGGGACAGTACATGAGACAATGACAAAACAATACACGAGGGGTTCGAGGGCCCTGCTCTTTCGAGCTTACAATCTAGGAGGGAGGGGATAGTGGTACAGGAGGAAGTGGCTGTGGGGGATGGAGTGGTAGGAGGAGTGGAGGAGATCGGCTTTTAGGTGAGGGTGGGGTAGGCTTCCTTGAAAAGATGGGTTTTCAGGGTGCGCCTGAAGGTGAGGTGGGTAGGTGACAGTCTGATGGATTGGGGTAGAGAGTTCCAGAGGATGGGGGAAGTCCTGGAGAAGTCCTGCAGTCGGGCATGGGAGGAGGAGAACAGGGAGCTAGAAAGTAGGAGGTCTTGTGAGGAGCGAAGATTACGGGTAGGGTGGTATTTGGGTATCAGGTCGGTGAGGTAGTTTGGGGCAGCATTATGAATGGCTTTGTATGTCAATGTTAGTAGTTTGAATTTAATGCATTGAGCAATCGGAAGCCAGTGGAGGGAATGACAGAGGGGGGTGGCAGAAGTGGAGCGGTTGGTAAGGTGGATGAGTCTGGCCGCTGAGTTCAGGATAAACTGAAGCAGGGATAGCCTGTGTTGGGGTAGGCCGGTGAGAAGGGAGTTACAGTAGTCCAGGTGTGAGATAATAAGGGAGTGAACGAGTTGTTTAGTAGTGTCTGGGGTTAGGAACGTACGTATTTTGGAGATGTTGCGGAGGTGGAGCCTGCATGAGTTTGCCAGCGATTGGACACGGGGATGGAAGGACAGGTTTGAGTCTAGAGTGACACCTAGGACTTTGGCTTGCAGGGTGGGACTGATGGCGGCGTTGTTGATCGTGATGGAGGGGGGGGGGGGGGCGGGCTGGGGGGAAAATTAGGATTTGTTCAATTTTGGAAATGTTCAATTTGAGGAAATGGAGGGACATCCAGTCTGATATGTCGTTCAGTAGGTGGGTGATACGGGTGGAGACTGAAGAGGTGATGGGTGGAGAGGTAAATTTGCGTGTCATCGGCGTAGAGGTGATAGTTGAAGCCATGAGAGTGTATCAGTTTGCCAAGGGAGGAGGTGTAGATGGAGAAGAGAAGGGGCCCGAGGACAGAGCCTTGGGGGACCTGAACAGAAAGGGGGAGGTGGTAGCGTTATAGGTAATGCTGAAGGAGCATTGGGATAGATAGGAGGAGAGCCAGGAGAGCGGAATCTCTGTTGCCGAGGGATTGTAGTTTATTAAGGAGGAGGGGGTGGTCAATTGTGTCGACTGTGTTGTATTGTTTTACTAGTACAGATTTAATCCTCAGGGATAGAGGTGTGTACAATTAAACATTTCCCTGTCAGAGCAAAAATGTCAGTCCATTGTCAGGCTGTCATCTTTACATAACTTTTGCTGTTATGACAGTTGTCAGCATTGAGACCTGACAGCCTGACATCCAACTTGATTCTTCTGTTCTGACAAGAAGAGTACAAAGAAATAATACAAAATCAAATTTTCACTTACAACGAATTACCTTGGAAGCATAAGTCCAAAAAACCTGACATTTCAGTTTTGGGTAAACTTTGCAATACTGAATAATTTCCTTCTTGTGTATCTTAACCTCCCTGGCGGTATTCCCGAGTGTAGCTCGGGGTAACATTTCAGTACCAAAAGCGGTAACCCCGAGCTACACTCGGGAATACCATGCGGCGCTGCTCCGGCATGTGTTCTTCACTTACCTTACCCTGCGCTCCCACGATGTGTCCCCTGCAGCGTCCCCGGCCATCTCCTCCGGCCGATGCCGGCATCCGGCTTCTGTGTCCTGTCCCTGTGACGTCGGGACGTACGGGCGCCGCCGCCGCCGGCGGCGGGAAATTTAAAAATTTTAAAAAATTTCATTTTTTTTTTTTTTCATTTTACACAGTAAAACATTGCTGTTTCAACCTATTTCACATACATATTGTCCCTAGTGCTTTGTCCTGCGCCCTGCCTGCATTTTGTCTGTTCTTTCTGCCTGGAAACTGAGAAATGTCCATGGCGTCCAAAAAGTGTCCCTTTAGGTCAAAAGCGGTTTAGATCAGCTAGAGAACAGCGATAGTAAATCAGAACCACTTACAGAATTGAGTGATAATGATTCGTGGGGGAAATTCATCATCAGAAACTGAAAAACAATTTTGCGACTGAGCTCAGCAATGTGCGAACTTGGCGCTCTATTTCACATTTCAGTGTTTTTGGTTTGATTATATTATTGAATTAAATTTTTTATTATTTTTATATTATTATTATGATTATTTATTAAATTATAATTTATGATTTTGTGTTTCAAATTTTATCATACCCGGGATGTTTACTAGACTCTTGTTCGGACAGATTTCAGTGAGTTTTTCCTAAAAATTACAGCCTACAATAAAAAAAATACATATTTCCATGCAAAAAAATGGTACCGCTTTCAGCACCAAAAATCTGAAATAATCATGCCGCAAGGGAGGTTAAAGCCCAACTCTGGTAAACTATAAAATGATCCTTTGCAGTGGGGCTGTGGCCACACTGCAAGGGTTAACTGCTTGTTCTGTCCAGGGGAGGGGAGGAACACATTTACTTACCTGATCCACCACTCCTCCAGCAGATGGCATTCCCCCTTGCTCCAGTGGTGGACTGTCTGTCAGCGTCCTCATCCTGTATAGGGCTATGAACCCTGCATAGGTCTTAATGTTGGTTGTCATGATTTTAGACCGCTGGAGCGTAGGGGAGGCCGAAACTTGTCTTGCAGCAGAGAGGAGCTGAGGATAGGGTAAGTAAATCTGCTTTTCTGTGTCCCTTAGACCTAAATGAGCAAATAACCCTTGTTGTTTTGACACAGCCCCACTGCAAGGGATACTTTTATAGTTTCCTGAAGATGGGCTTTAAGTATTGCAGAAGGATTAGCCCATCCTGTTTTGCCCCTCTTTCTTGTAATTTTTCTGTGTTGCTATTAGGTTGTTATTGTTTGGCAGTGTGCTGACATCTATTGGCAGTGTTGGGCCAGTACAACTTGTTTACAATGTGATTTTGGTAGCTTCCTCTATCCTGCCCTCCTGTTTAGTGCTAGTTAGTTTAGTCTTAGACAGATGCTCTTCCATGTTCCCTCTGTCATTATTAATTATTCACAGAGACAGGGCTTTGGAAAATCATT